AAGAGGCCCCGGACTCCAGCAGGTGGTGGAAGAGGCCAGGCCCCAGGTCCCGCGGCCACGTCAGGGGCCCGTTAGAGACTCGGATCAGCCACACGACTGAAGAGTCCTTTCCGCGGCAGGGGACCCGAGATCAGAAATCATGTCAGGGGGCCAGGTGCTCACCGCACTTTTAGGTAGGAAAGCGTCCCTTTTCAATGTGTTTTTTTAACAAACAAGCGGTGGCGGAGTCTATAGAGTCAGTGGAAGACAGCAGTGCCACCAACATACTTTAAAGATGTGTGTGGCCCAGAATAACATCCTCGTACTTCTCAACGTCTTTGAAGCTAATTTCACGTATCCCAATGAAGCCTAATGAAGGTGCTCCAAAGTTACAATTAAGTAACCAAACAAAAGAAAGTATGTTAAAGTGACTCCAGGTTAACTTCTCAAAGAGAATAAATGAACATAATGGTGAATGGCGAGGGGGCAGGTAATCAAACCAGCAGGTGCTCATCTGACAGACAGGAGTCCTGCTTCTGGCCCACTTTATGAGGGGCGTGGAAGAACACAGGGTTGGCAAAGATGATACAATCCAATTCCAAACTGAAACGAATAACAAAGCTGAGACCAAGAAGGGCCTTCCACACACGGCAGGGCACTGTCAGGAGCCACAGGCCGCTTCCGGCCCGACAAGCAACGGCAGAAGTGTGGGTGGAGGAGGTCACCAGGGAGCTCGCTTCCTCCTGACATGTTTTTCTTTCAACCATTAGTCCTAAAAACAAAAAGTCCAAGTAATAACAAATGCTGCCCTCGGCACTGCTGTTAGGGCTGCGCACCAGCAGCCGCTCAGAAGTCCGCCGGCTTCTGGGAAAGGACACTGGCCGTCCCAGGTGCGAGACCCACACTGCCCGTGTGCGCTGGCCAGGGAGACAGGGAGACGTGTCCGCACTGATGTCCGTGACCACACGTTTCCATCGAGTTTAACTCCCAATAGCCCCAACCTGAAAACAACCCACCAGTCCACCACAGGAGAGTGGGTGACCAGCGAATGGGGCACAGGTTGTGCGATGACACTTATGGACATTTTGAAGCAACAGAATTATAGAAACGGATAACAGATGATAACGAGGGGGGCAGGGAAGTGATGGGTATGTATGTGGTGTGACTGTCAACGGCAGAGAGGGACTCATGGTGAGGGACAGCGCGGCATCTCCCAGGGCAAACGTCAGCACCCTGGTTGTGACATTGTATTACAACTTCGCAAGATAGGGGAAACTGGATAAGGGTGCAAAGGTCCCTCTGTCTTATTTCTTATAACCGTATGTAAACCTATAGTTACAGAAAAATAGAAAGTTCAATTTTTTAAAAATACGTAAATTAAAATACATTTTTAAAAGTCCAGGTACTGAAAAAGTGGGTGAATATCCAACTAGCTGGAATAAGAGTCTAAGAAACACAGAAATAGGGCTCAAGGGCTGTTCCCAGGACCACACCCCACACATTGGGTAGCCCATGCCAGCCTGGTCCAGCCACCCCACCTATGGTCGTGGGGGTCTCTGGACAAATCAGTTTGGGGAAGACAGCACCCTTTCCCTATTTCTTAGAACCTACAAGGTGCACAGGTATGTTAATGGCTCTGGAACAACATGCAGCAAAGCCACTGGCTTATCTTTTTCATCCTGATGGACAGACTTACTTGACCCCTGAGCACCTGTGAATTTCTGTTTCTTTGACCGGAGCACACTGTAGGGATTCCGGGTCTGGTCAGGTGCACTCTGTGCTGCTAAACAGGCCCCACAAAACTCCAACTAAGCCTCCTGGCCTTGCGGAGAGCTGAGCTCTGCCTCTCAGTGAAGGTGAGAAATCAGAACCCAGGACCCCAGTTCCCTGGACTTATCTGTGGGGTGTTTACCATGTGCTGAACAGTATTTAAATGTATCCCAGTTAAACTTAAAAGCCACAGTTTTGGATACTGTTATACCCTGTTTCATCAGAGACAGGAACTGAGGATTAACATTGTTGCTAGTGGCTGAGCTGCTAAGAACAGGTAAGGCTTTGGTCCTTAACCACTGAGCTCCAGTCCCTTACTAGAGAAAGGAGGGTCAAGTGACTGTTATTAGAAACAGGTGTCAAGAAGAGACCTGCCTAGCCAGTCCCAACCTGACATTTCACCAGCCAAGAAAGGAATGAGCAACACAGCACTCGTCCCTAACACTCCAAGCTCCCTCTGGCTTCCAAGCCCATGCTGTTCCCTTTGTCCAGGACCTGTCTCTACCCTCAGCTAATTGACTCACCTACCCAGGGCTTCTACTCCCTTTCCTGGAAGTCGTCCCTGAACCTCAGGCCTGAGTTAGGGCCCTCAACGTGCCTTCGAAGTCCCATCACCCTGTCCAGAGCATGTCACCGCATTGCCTGCTGATGAGTGCATCCCCCACTAGACTGAGCTCCGAGTCCCAAGAAGCCAGGGTCTACGTGCACCCTGTACATAGGGTGTCTGCCACACAGTAGGTGCTCAGGGAGTATAGAACGAGTTAACATATAACAGGAAATCAAATCAAATAAACATAGGATTGCTCATCATTCGAAGGTCCAAGTCTCCCTGCTCATTGTCTGAAAATCTGCAACCTCAGAATGACCAGCCAAAGGACACTCTGAAGCAGGCAGGCTCTGAGTCAGGCATAACTGAGTCTGTCATTAACTAGTCATTAACTAGTCATTAACTAGCTGGATGACCTGACGCAAGCTCCCTTAGCTCTGGGAATCTCAGGTTCCTGCAGTGGAGAGGAGTGCCCCCCGCAGGGTGCTGGGATTGGATGAGGAAATGCATAATTAAGTCTTCAGCTGAGGGTCTCACACTCCATCAGCGTCCAGTGTTAGCTATTAAGCCATGAGAAGAAGGCGGCGAAGATAAACACCATACAAAAGATAAGCTAGAATTGGTATAAAATGTCACAGTATGAAAACAGGGATACAAGTAACATGTAACACACTCCTGGCTTCATCAGGACTGGCCCTGAGCTGGGACCCTGGGGATAAAGTAACAGAAACAGAAAAGACACACTGAAAGTATGGAGCCAACTCATTTGTAACCTATTTTAGTGGCCTGGGGGCCAAAAGAAAGTCAGAAATGCAAAATATAAGGCAATCCCCCAGCTTCTTAATTTGAGTACTTGAATTTCTCAAAATTCAGAAACTCCAAAACCAACAACTTAAAGAAGGTTAATTCGCAGACCATCCTCTTAAAACTTGAAGCTTGTCAGACTTTAAATATTTCCATTAATAATTCCTGCCTGCGTGAGGACAGGACAGCCAGGGCTAGTTTACGCCAAGATGCTAGAAACTGCCCAGATTCCAGATTTGGGGAGATAATTACTTAAAAATGCAAATACTTTCGTAATTGTATCACAGCCTCCATAGGAGCCAGCTAATGTGACGATGACACCCCACCCCCCAAGAAAACAATTTCAACATGAAGTACTAATCACGACTACTTTTAAATACTGCTGACTTCATTATATGAGGCCTTTAAATTTGACTGAAACTTTCACTTGGTACATCACACTGCGGACATGGGCTCACGCTCAGTGCCACAGACAGTGACGCACCTCCCAGGTCAGATTGTTGTGGGAGATGCTGCCGGACACTGACCTGGTAGGAAGGGGACCACCTGGTGAAGACTGACTTTCAACATGGCAAACCACAGACTGCAGGAACAGAATTTCTTCTTTCTACACAACTACCTCCCCAAAATACCACAACCCTATGGTTGACAACATCAGGGGAAACATACTTTAAGGGAACTTTTCATTAACACCAGAATAAGAGCACTAGTCACTTATGCCGTGGATGGCCTCAGTTACACCGTACACAGGAACACATTGTGCGGCAAAAGTCACTCAGGTTTCCCCACTCCAGTCTCCCTGCCGTCCTGACTTGTCCGCACAGACGAGCTCATCCACCACAGCCAGCCCTATGCCCAGGGGCAAGGCAGGCCCACATCTTCAAAGACTCTCTAGACAGATGTTATCAGAAAGACTTCAAATGCTGTAGCAACTTCAATGGAAGCAACAGAATATTAAAAATATTCTTTTTCAATGACATATCCTTTTTAAAATACTCCAGGAAAAAACAAAACACCCCGTGGAAAAACAGATACCACAGTATTGGCGAAACGCCAGCTGAAATTGCTGAGGCTGAAGAAAGTGCACAGGCTCAGTGCTGGTCTCTACTTTTTTGTTTGTTTAAAAATTGCCAATGATCGGAAGATACACAGAATATTCTCTCCACCAAAAATACAAAAAGGACGTATTCACTTCAGCTGAAATTTAGATTTGCCACAATCTCAACCACTAAACATACCACCAAAAGCTATTCACCTCTCTGAAGGTCCACCTCCGGCATGGACAAGTACTTAAGAGCTGTGCCCAGTAACATCCGATCCCTCAGCCCACCAGAAACTCCTCTTGCAACAGGGTCAGGACCCCAAGTTCAATCTCAGCCCCCACAGACGCTGCCTGCAGCTGGCATTTTACCCCAAAACACCAGAAAACAACAGGGAAGGACAAATGTTCTCTTCACATTCTCAAATCATCACCTGTAAGATGGCCTCGGATACAACAGTTCAGAAAATTCAATTCAATAATTAAGCTGACTTGAGGTCACTGTTCTTAAACTTCTTAAATCCTCACAAATAAGATCATTAATCAGTCACAACAAAGAAGATAAATAGGTCCATTTAACATCCAATTTTGAAGAATATAAAAACAGCCTCTGAGGGGCCAAAACATGGGTGACCATCACAACTTTAAAAATATAGTTGTTAAAACTTCAACGTCTGAAATTTAAATCATTCTACTTTTAACTTTCGATGAACAACTAGGGCACTGAATCCAGCACAAGGCCCTCGGAACTTTTACACACAACATAAAACAGGACGAGGCTGATGGAAGTTAAGCCATGAAACACGGGCGGGGAAACAGCTTCCTTCGCAAACATTGTTCTTCGAAGCATGAGATACTTACCAGCACCTTGTTTTCAACTTTGTCTCCTTTAACTTCCAACTTGACTTTCTTCTTCAGTGAGATTTTTATCTTTCTGCCAATAACATCCTTTATGCTTTCTGAAAGAGAAGAATAGTTTCATCATAATCTTTAAAAAAAAGAAAAAGAAAAACTTATCTTTATTGTTGAATGTATTACAGGTGTCCTCCTTTTTCCCCTCATTGACCCCCCTCCTCCCTGCTCCCGCCCCCCCTCCTGCCTTCCCTGCACTATTGTCTGTGTCCATCGGTTATGCATATATGCATATGAGTTCTTTGGTTTATCTCTCCCCTCCCCCTTCCCTCATCAGTCTAACAACCAATTTGTACTTCTTAATCCCTTCACCTTTTTCACCCATCCTCCCAACCCCCTCCCAGCTGGTAACCAACAAAGAGTTCTCTGTATCTATGAGTATGTTTGTTTTGCTTGTTCATCTGGTTTGTAAATTCAGTCACTGATACATATGTATTTATTGCCATTTTATTGTTCATATATTTGATCTTTTTCAAGAAGACCCTTCAACATTTCATATAATACTAGTTTAGTGGTGAACTCCTTTAGCCTTTTCTTGTCTGGGAAACTCTTTATATGTCCATTGATTCTAAATAACAGCTTTGCAGGATAGAGTAATCTTGGTTGTAGGCTCTTGCTTTTCATCACTTTGAATATTTCTTGCCACTCCCTTCTGGCCTGCAGTTTCTTTTGAGAAATCAGCTGACAGCCCTGGCCAGTTTGGCTCAGCAGTTAGAGCGTCAGCCCTTAGACCAGAGAGTCCTAGGTTCGGTTCCTGCTAAGGGCAAGTACCTTGGTTGCAGTTTGTCCCCAGCCCCAGTTGAGGTCATGTGGGTGGCAACCAGTCGATGTGTCTCTCTCACAAAGATGTTTCTCTCTCTCTCTCTTCCTCCCTCCTCCTTCCTGCTCTCTCTGAAGATAAATGCAAAAAAGTCCTCAGTGAGGATAAAAAAAGAGAAATCAACTGACATTCTTATGGGAGTTCCCTTGTAGGTAACTAACTGCTTTCCTCTTGCTAATTTTAAGATTCTCTATCTTGAACCATTTTGATTATGGTGTGTCTTGGTGTGGGCCTCTAGGGGTCCATCTTGTTTGGGTCTCTGTGCTTCCTGGACTTGTATGTCTGTTTCCTTCACCAAGTTAGGAAAATTTTCTGTCATTAGTTTTTAAAATAGGTTTTCAATTTCTTGCTCTCTCTCTTTTCCTTCTGGAACCCCTATGATGTGAATGTTGGTACACTGAAAGTTGTCCCTGAGTCTCCTTACACTGTCCTCATTTTTTGGATTCTTTTTCTTTTTGCTGTTCTGATTGGACATTTTTTGCTTCCTTATACTCCAAATCGATGGTTTGCTTTTTTGGCTTTACCTACTCTACTGTTGATTCCTTGTTAATTATTTTTTATTTCAGTCAGTGCATCCTTCATTTCTGACTGATCCTTTTTTATGCTCCTGAGGTCCTCAACTAAGTTCCTTGAGCATCCTTATAACCAGTATTTTGAACTCTGCATCTGACTGAGTGCTTATCTCCATTTCATTTAGTTCTTTTCCTGGAAATCTGTTCTGTTCTTTCATCTGGGACATATTTCTTTGTCTCCTCATTTTGGCTGCCTCCTTGTGTTTGTTTCTATGTATTAGGTAGAGTTGCTATGTCTCTTAGGCTTCACAGGATGGCCTATTGTAGTAGGTGTCCTGTAGGGTCCAGTGGCACAGCCTCCCTGATCACCCCAGCTGGGCCCTCAAGGTGCACCTCTTGTATGGACTGTACACCCTTCTGTTGTAATTGAGTCTTGATTGCTGTTGGCATGTCAATGGGAGGGATTTACTCAGGCTGATCAGCTTCAAGGACTGGCTGTGCCCACTGACCACTAGCCTCTGACTACTTTGGAGGATCAGCTGTGCAGGGCCCCACACACAGAGCAAGACTTACTTCAGCAGGGTTCTGGTACCACTGAGTCCACTCATTGAGTGTGTCGCTTGTGGAGGTGGTTGGGAGGTGGTTGGGTTGTGGTACTTCAACATGGTCTGAAGCTGTCCACTGGGTGTGCTGGCTCTGGGGCAAGGTCAGCCACTGCCTGTATTCTATCTGGGGCCACCAGGCATAAGCTACAAAGCGATCTGCAGATGGCTGCTGCTTGTGCTGGGCTTGGAGGTGCCCAGGCAAAGCCAAGTTGTGAACCAAGTCTGGCTGCTTCTAGTGCCAGGCCTGGGGCCACTTAATGAGAGGTATGGGACTCTCTGAGACCAGGTGCTGCTTGTTTGAAAGAATTTAGGAAAATCTGAAGCAGGAGCCAAGACAGGCCAATCCTATGGTAAAGCAACTGGGAAACAGCTTGGGTGGGCCTGAAAGCTGAATGGGGTGGGGCCTCGGGGAATCACCAGCGTGGGGCCAACAGTGTGAGCCAGGTTGCTGGAGTCCCAGCTATGGTGCCTGTCTGCCACCCCAGGGAAGGGCTCAGCAAAGGAATAGTGGCCTCCACCAGCACGTCTGTCTGGAAGAAAGATGCCCCTCTAGCTCCCGCCCCAATGCCAAAAAACTGAGTTCTTGGTGGTATGTCTCTAGTGCCTTTCAAGCTGCCTCCCCCACATTGGAGCCTGGAGGGGGCTGTCCAAGTAACTCCCTTTAAGAGGAGCTGCCTGGAGCTCCAGCAGCCTCAGCCTCCCTCAGCCTCAGTTCCTGCTGGTTTTACAGCCAGAAGTCATGGGGATTCTCTTCCTGGCACTGGAACCCTGAGCTGGGGCCTGGTGTGGGACAGGGAGGCTCTTCCCAGCCGAGGTGTCCTCATGATTTTTATCTGCCACAGATGGGTGTAGGACCAGCCCATCCACCTCTGCCCCTCTACTAGTCTCCATGTGGCTGCTTCTTTAATTTTTTAGTTGTAGGACTTCCATTCTGCTCGATGTCAGGTGGTTCTGAATGATTGTTGTTCTGGAGTTTAGTTGTCACTTTGATGTGGTTGTGGGAGGAGGCAAGACCGACGTTACATGTGCCGCCATCCTGACCGGAAGTCTCATCATCTTTTATTAATAAGAAAAGAGCCTGGGGGCTGAGAGAGTATGTGGTTGTTTTTGTTGTTGTGTCTTTTGTAAATTGTTTTAACAAGCCTGATAGTTATCACTCACCAAGTATTTAGTAAACTCCTCTCTGTGCCTTGTGCTGTGTGCTCAGATGCTGAGGCAAATGAATACAAAAGCATATGTAAAGTAGCAGTCCATGCAAGACATGAAATAATCTTGCTGGGCAAACACACAAGAGAAAAGGGGGCTTGTCGGGCTGTACCACAGAGCGCTGCATTGCATGCTGATCGTGAGCAAGGCAGGAGCTCACAGCCTCCCTTGGCTGGCCACCTGCAGCCCCGCAGCCTGTGTTCAGACACGTAAACATCACCATTTTCTGCGAGTGCCTCCTGAAGGGCAGATGACAGGGCAGAGACCCAGACGTGGACCCAACAGTGGAGCCGAGGAAGGTGCTCCTGGCCGTATGTCCTTCCAAAATCATCAAAGCACACACCACGCCGGTGCGGCTCAGTGGACTGAGTGTCATCCATGGACTGAGATGTCCCAGTTCAATTTCCAGTCAGGGCACATGCCTGGGTTGCGGGCGGCAGCCAATCGATGTGAGAGATACATCACTGTTTCTATCTCTCTCCCTTCCTCTCTATCTAAAAAAATCAATAAAAACATTTTTTGTTTAAAGTTATCAGAGCATAACACCCCAGAGTGCTCAACGGGTAGCAGAACAGAAAGCTGAGAGAGAGGGAGACCTAAAAATTTGGATGGTGGCAGGAAGGTCTTCCTGGGACTCCCATGAGTACCCCAAACTAGACAGGTTCCAAACCAAACATCCTCCACCCCCTCCTCCAGACACTGTCGCCAACTCCTTTCTGTCAGATAGGGAGCCAGTCACCTCCTCTCCAAAAACTCCCTCCTAAGCAGCTCCTGACCCCTGACACTGACTCTCATCCAGGCCTCAGACCTCTCACCTATCAGCCCCTGTCCCCTCCATTGCCAGAGTGACCCTTCCCAAACCACAGGTGTGACCCTGTCACTCTTGGTCTGTGAGTGACACTCATTTGGAGATGACCCCAAACCTTGCAGCATGTCACTCAAGGTCATTCCCAGTTTGTCAGCTTCACCTCCCAGTGCACCTAGCAGCACAGTCTCCTCCCTCACCTTTACCCCCAGGATGTGAATACACTGTTCTCTCCCAGCACCCTGGCCCCGCCCCCAGCCCCCTCCTGGTTACCTCTGAAACTGACTTCCAACTATAAACACATGGAAAGAGACAGGATGGTTACATACCAAAGGTCAGCCTAGCCATCTCCAAGGGGTGAAACAGGTGACCTATTCCTCTCAGTCTTCTCCCCACTTAATTTGTTTAATAAATAGCCTGTATTACTGTCATTATCGGAAAGATACACAGTACGTTTTTAGATGCCTTGGAGGTGGTTACCTTATACTGAGGTTGTCACGTATTTGCCATTTTGCATCGATCAGAGGGAACTCTGTGAGCACTTACAACTAGAGAGAAAGCCAGGTGCAGGGCTCTCCCCTCCCCCACCTAATTAACCCATTTAAGGGCCCAGAAAACCCATAATGGGCATACCCCCAAGGCATGTGTATCTTGGTGGAAAGGTATGTGTAACAGGCAAGACTCAATAAACACAGAAATTCCATTTCTAGATAAGGGCTAAATTCAACTTTTAAAATATGCCAAAGTATTTATTTTGAGAAACATCCATTTAAACCAGCTGCCTTATCTCCATCTTGCACCAGCCGCTCCGGGTTTACGTCATTACCTACACTCTCACTCCCAGGCTCGGCGGCTAACTGAAGGACCTGCCGCGCCTCCTTAGCTGCCCTTGTCCCCTGGCCAGCGCGGCAGCCCTTCCTGAGCTCCTTCCCGGGACCTCTGCAGGCCGCTGGGAGTCCTGAGCGCATTTCCTCTTCCGGGAAGGGTGTTGGGAAGGTCTCAGCCTCCAAAACCGGACGGACCACTCACTCCATCCAGCAAAGGCCGCCGATGCCTATCTGAGGAGCAGACGCCACCGGGCTGGGCAGGGGGAGGAGGCGGGGGCGTGATGCGGCGGAAGAAGCACCTCCATACCCGAAATTCGGTGCAAAGCAGAAGCTCCCACACCGACCTACCAACAGCTTCTTTCTGTCAGCCTTCACCTGCTGAGTTAAGTCACTGACGGAGGAGCACACAAACTCCTGCCAAGTGCTGGGCTGGAAGGAGGAACGGGGCAAATTCCTCAGACACAGAAGGGGGTGAGAACCTGCTCCTGCGGTCCGCGCGTTTCCACGCCACCGCTCAGCGCGCGGGCCGTGCCGGCGCCAACGACAAGACGGGGGGACTCGGGTCACTGGGGCTCAGAGCACAGGTACACACAACACATTACACACACGCGCTCAAACGCTGGGTTCCGAGAACACTGTCCCTGACCGCATTTAGCTCTGCCATCTCAACCCTCCACAAAAGTTAAACCCCAACGCATAAAATCTAGCCACCACCACCACCCCAAAAATAACCTCAAGGGACTCAGACAATGGGTCACCACGCACGAGGTACCCCACACAGGTTGCCTGAGAGATCCAGGGTGAGGACAGCAGGTAGGTTAATTATTATTAAAATACGGCTTTTGTCATTAACCCTCAATTTCCTGGCCCGAGTTTGCGTCAGTCCGGTAACCCTTTCGCTTTCCCAGCTCCCTAACAGAAGCTATGCCTTTCCAGACTAAGTCCTTACACCAGACCAGCACCCCCTCCCCAAGTCTGCAGGCGGGAGAACCTCCCGTCTGGGGTTTCGGTTGCGGAGGACACTGCCGGCGACCACCTCCAGCGCGCTCCCCCGCGTCCAGCGCTGGGATTCCCCGGACTTTCCGAGTGGGGGCCGCGGGGCCGGGCGCCGTAAGGGGGTCTCCTCGCCTCCACAACTCCCGAGACCTTGGCAGCCCGCTCCCCTCGGCCAACCTCCAAGCTCCATCTCCCCCAAACCCCCGGGAGTGGCGGGAGGCGGCCCCCGGGCGCCCGGTTGCCCCACGCGGGCCTCAATGGACTTGGCTCTCCAGGCGGTCAGACCAGAGCGAACTTCCCGGAGCCCATGGGGCCCCACCCAACTGCACTCCGACCCGGGGCGCAGAACTCTGCCGGAGTGCGCAGCGCGCGGGGGCGAGGAACGAAGAGGCGGGGGGCGGGCGGGCCTCTTACCTGTCAGCTCGCGGGGCACCTCGGCGCTCTCCTCCGCCATGGCTCCTCCGCGAGGGGACCGCAGGTCCCACTCCGATTCACCGCCCCACCCTCTCGGATCCCCTCGGTTTTGAGAGGCTGATGCGGCGTGCAGATGGGAAGAGGCGAGAAGGCGGGCGGGAGAGGCAGTTTGGCCGCGCCCCCGCGCCCCCCACCCCAAAAAAATAAATAAATGAAAATAAATAGTTGCCGATCCGCGGAGGGCTTGCGTCTGCGGCTACATGACTCCTTCTAGCAGCTCCCGCGGCCCACGGAGGAACTGACGGACACAGAGCCGCAGGACTCCGCTTCGGCCCGGATTCTGGCCCGGCTGCGCCCCTGCTCCCGCGGCTGCTCCGGCCGATCGGCGCACCTACTGCCCTAGGTGCGGGCGGAAGGCGTGGGAGGGCGGGGAGAGCGCGGCGAGGGCTGGGGTTCCCGGCGCTCGAGCGGCCCCGCTGGGCGGGGGCAGCCGCGGCCCTCCTCCCCCTCTCCTGCGTCTCCTGCTCCTGCGTCGCCTCCTCCTTCTCTCCTCCTCCTCCGCCCCCTCTCCTCTCCTCTCTCCTGCGTCTCCTCTCCACCTCGCGAGAGCGGACCCACACGGTCCCCGCTGCCTCGGCTCCCGGGCGCTGGTTCCCGCTGGACGCACCCGGGGGGATGCTGCCGGGGCCGCGGAGGTGGCGCCTCGGCCCCCAGTCGCAGCCTTGCTCCCCAACCCTGAAGCCTCGCGTCTGGAGAGGGAGCGCGGGCCCGGGAGCCCTCTGCTGGCTGTGAGGGGGGACGGCCGGGGGCCGGGTCAAGACGCGTCCCCGCGCTCGCGGGCTGAGCGCCCGGCGATGGGAGGCGGCAGGTTCTGCAGATGCGTCTGCACGGAAACCTGGTCTGCCTGGGACTCTTACGCACGCTCCTGGTGCAGCTCTCCCTGGGCCATGTTGTCGTGTCATCAGCATCGTTAATTTTCCCTGTCTGGCGAGAAGCGAGACGAAACCTGTGAAAACCAACCATGTGGTGACAGGCGCCGCGCGCGATCGCAGACACCCGACTCGGGAGCACGCCGGAACAGTGCCTGTCACTCGCGGGGACGTCCGTTGACCCCAGGGCTATGTGTGCAGTGAGCATTATTCACAGAAGCCGTAATCAGCCCGCTGCTCGGTCTGATCCTACCTGGCCAACTCCCTCCCACGTCCCTGAGCTCCACTCCAGAGACAACTTCGGGGCCAGGACACCTCTGAGCGCCTTCGTTGCTGCCAATATTCCCTAGCGTCTAAGAATGTCGTATCAGGTTGCGTTTTTATTTTATTTTTTATCTTTATTGTTGAATGTATTACAGATGTTCCTCATTTTTCCCCTTTGACCCCCTCCTCCACACTCCCGCCCCCTCCTGCCTTTTCCCACACTGTTGTCTTTGTCCATTGGTTATGCATATATGCATATAAGTCTTTGGTTTATTTCTTCCCACCCCCCCCCAAACCCCCCTTCCCTTTGAGGTTTGTCATTCTAGCAACCAATTTGTTCTTCTTAATCCCTTCACTTTTTTCACCCATTCCTCCAACCAACAAAATGTTCTCTGTATCTATGAGAATGTTTCTGTTCTGCCTGTTCATTTTGTTTGTAGATTCCATTGTCGGTAGATATGTATTCATTGCCATTTTGTTTGTTCATATATTTTATCTTTTTCTTCAAGAAGACCTGTCTAGTTTTAAACACTGCTGTTGACCTTGGATGCCAAAAATAGTTTCACCCTCTCCTCCAGATCTACCAGTCTGACCCCTTCCCACCCTTGTGACCTGCCCACTACCACTCTTACACCAGACTCTCCAAAACTATTTGCTTTCCCTACCCCTTCGGGTTATCTGAATCTTATCTCTGTTTCAACCTTAGCCCAATGTGTGCTCTTTGTGAGGGTTTCCCAGGGTTCTTTCAGATCACTGTGATTGCTGTATTCGAAACTGCTACAATGCATTGCCTGAAACATTCTTTTGTAAATCCAACCACAACCTTGGTTCACTGCTTGTGTGTTTGTCTAGTCTTACTAGTTAACTCTTGCATTGTTTCCTGAGTTTGGGTTTGTCTGCCTGACTAAACTGTAGAAGATTTGAGGGCAGGACTTCACCACAGACTCTTGGACCTCCTCACAGACATGTACAAAGTAGGTGTTGGATAAACACTTGGTCACTGATTGGTTTTAGAGCTTTGGACCTCAGGTTCTCTATGGTTTGTATCAAAAATTGTCCATTTCTTGCAGCTAGAGATTTTCTGTATGCCTTACATATCATTTTTATGCAATAAATGGAAATTGTCCAGCCGGTGTGGCTCAGTGGTTGAGCGTCAACCCATGCACCAAGAGGTCCTGGTTCGATTCCCAGTCAGGGCACATGCCCAGGTTGTGGGCCAAATCCCCAGTGGCAGGCATGCAGGAGGCGGCCGGCCAATCAATGTTCTTCTCTCATTGATGTTTCTATCTCTCACTCCCTCTCACTTCCTCTCTCTCTAAAAAAAATCAATAAAGGAAAAAAATAAAAAATAAAAAATAAAAAAATGGAAATTAACATCTTCCATTCAACTGTGTATGTAAAGCAGGATCTTTCTGGCACATCCCAGTGAAGTTTCAGAAATAGCCCTGAAGGTTCCAAAGCATGTGGTCCTGAAAATACAGACAAAACCTTTTCCCGTGGGACCTGGGTGGTGAAAGAATAGAGAGGAGTTTGGCTGTGTGGCAGTCCCGTAATCCAGGGCTCCTTGGCGTCTTTTAAAAGAGTCTGGAGTTTCAATAAAAGAAGCTTTTTATTTTCCACTGCCCCAGAAGCCTACCTGCTCCTGTGCCTCTGAAGGTGTTGAGTTCAAATGAGCCTCCTACCTCCGTGCTCACAAATTACTGACTGATCGGGAGCTCAAAATCATTTACTTGGTGCAAAACTCAAATGTTTCAGAACAGCCAGCAGAGAGCTCCCAGGAACACTGTGTATAACATAACGCAAGGAGCCTGCGGCCGGAAGCCCCACCCCCACCATGCTAACTTCCCTTAGGGGACCTGGCCCCCAGCGTCCATGCTTTGAGCCTCATCCCTCATGTACATCCCAATTAAGAGAGTGGCCAAACTACTACATGGCACATTGCCGCTATATGTGTGGTTAGCGATAGCTTCATCCTGTCGGTACTTATTTGTGCTCTAGCTGGTTTGGCTCAGTGGTTGGAGCATCGGCCAGTGGACCAGAAAGTCCCAGGTTCAGTTCCTGCTAGGGGCACGTACCAAAAAATATATATATTATAATGGGGCTTTAAAAATTCCCATCGCCTAGAACAGTGATTTTTAACTGTTGTGCCTCAAAAATTTTTTAAAAAATGCAATGCCTGACTAGTCAGGAACAATGACCTTGTTACCCTCAGATTGTTTAATAAAAAGAAGAAATGACAACAGCCAACGCAACAATAGCTGTCCGGTGTGAATGAATCAAAATAATATATTTTTTGTCAGTTCAGCAAAAATAGATATTTTTAGTGTGCCACAGAATTTTAGTAATTAGTTGTTGTGTGCCATGAGATGGAGAAGGTTAGTGTCACTGGACCAGTGACACTGGAGCAGTCCAGGGGGAGCACACTCGTCACTCCCAGGCCAGTGGTGATGCTGTGCTGTGTGACAGTACTGCAGTGGGAAGGAGGGAGGGGGAGAGAGAGAGAGAAACATCGATGTGAGAGGGACACATCAACTGGTTGCCTCCCGCACGATCCCGACTAGGGCCGGGGATGAACTGCAACCGAGGTACATGCCCTTGACCGGACTTCAAACTGTGACTCTTTGGACTGCGGGCCGACACTCTAACTGCTGAGCCAACCCAGCCAGGGCAACCATACTACACTTTTATCATTATATTAGAATATACTCTTTCTACTTATTAAAGAAAGTTTGCTGTAACGGTAGCCGTGTTACACTGGCAGCAGCCTCACACATCTTGTGTTCGCCATGTCCCTTGATGGCATCATTTCTCTTGTGTTTGACTTAATTTCATGTTGTTTTGTACAGTAATGTGCTGTACAGGCTGTAGCCCAGGAACCATAGGCTAGACCATATGGCAGAGGTGTGTAGTGGGCTAGATAGACCATCCAGGTTTGTGTGAGTGCCTCTGCTGTTCTCACAATGACAAAGTCACCTAAGGACACATTTTCTGGAATGCATGCCCACCAGTAAGTGGTGCATGACCATGTGAAAATTCTCTGTGCCTTCTGCTCAATTTTTCCATAAGTTCAAAACTGCTCTAAAAAATAGTTTATTACTTTATATCTAAAACGCATTAATGCACGAAGGGAAAGAAGGTAGGAGGCGATGGTGACAAGAAAAGTCCACATTTGGAAAACAAGGAGAGCCAATGGAGGGAAGGTGACGAACTGCACAGACCAGGGAGAGACAGCGTCTGAGCCAGAGGGGAGAAAGCAAACAGACAGCAAGCTCATTTCTATGGCAGAACCCATGAGAAGTCTCAGGATGAGAGACACAATGATCTCTGAATCCAGCAGTGCAGAAGGTGAGAACACAGAGCAGGAGGACTGGGAAAACTCAGAGGAAAAGTTATACATGTCATGGTCCCTTCTCCACATCGCACACCTGTCAGCCCACACCCCAGGCAGCTGCCTAAGACTGGAGGTTTATTCTTCCCTGTGAAGGAACAAAAAAGGACCCACTCTTCCAATGGCAGAGGGTGTAAGCGAGAAGTCACACCATATTGAAAAGAGGGAAATTTAGAGAAAATCTACCTCCTAAATAGAAAACCCCACAACTTTCTCGGCTTGGTTCTCCAGGGTGATAATTTCAGGCATTGGATCAGAGAATTGCTCTCCAAGTCATTGACTGTCCTTAGAAGAAAAACCTGTGACCAATGAAAAGGCCAGTTCCCCGCCAGTCACCCTAATATGAGCCCCACCCATTGGTCAGCTTTGTTATGCCTTCCTGTGAAATATGGACATTCAAGGACAAAGAAGAGCGTGGGGTCAAAAGAAGACTTTAAAAATCTAGTCATATAAGAAGCAATAATAGTGACAGCAGTGGCTGCCTGGACATTTGCATCAGCATTATCACCTCTACAGCTCTATTTTCCCTGTTCAGTTTCAACGTTGTTACTGCTCTCTGAACACATACTACCTGTAGCCATCTGGCTCATTTCCTGTCTTGGCAAATTGACATTTTGTCAAATGGCATGAGGACGGTATCAACCATGCCAAGCACTTTAAATGTCTTTTCTCATTCAATTCTCAAGGACATGTATGAAGTAGGTGATTTTATTATTTCCATTATTCAGAGAGGGAAACTTCGCCGGAAGG